TTATAACAACTTACAAGAGTCTGTCTTAAGCTGATAACAACTTAAGTTTGAATACATGCTAAAGCTCTATGGTTTTACTCCCTCCCCCCCCCACTTTATATATACATTTTTTCCTTCTATATTTTTGATGTCACATTTTACATCTTTTTTTTTTTTTAAGTTTATTTATTTTTGAGACAGAGAGAGACAGAGCATGAACGGGGGAAGGTCAGAGAGAGAGGGAGACACAGAATCCGAAGCAGGCTCCAGGCTCCGAGCTGTCAGCACAGAGCCCGACGTGGGGCTCGAACTCACGGACCATGAGATCATGACCTGAGCCGAAGTCGGACGCTTAACCGACTGAGCCACCCAGGCGCCCCAACATTTTACATCTTTTTATCTTGTATATCCCTTAACTAATTATTGTATTTACAATTTTATTACTTTTGTTTTTTTAACCTTTATACTAGCTTGTGATTAATCTACCACCTTTACATTGTTATTCTAAATTTTACTATATTTACCTTCACCAGTGAGATTTATACTTTTACGTGTTTTCCCATTACTTTCTTTTTGGCTTAAAGAAGTCCTTTAATATTTCTTGCAAGGCTAGTTTAGTGGTGATGAACTCCTTCCTTTGCTTTTGCTTGTCTGGAAAACTCTCTCCTTTACTTCTGAATGACAGCTTTGCTGGGTATTCTTGGAAGTTTTTTTTTTTTACTGCCCTGAATATGTTGTGCCACACCCCTCTGGCCTGCAAAGTTTCTGCTAAAAAATCTGATACTCTTCGGGGGGGGGGGGGGGTTCCCTTTTATGTAGCAAGTTGTTTTACTGCTTTTATTCTCTCCTTGTCTTTTAACATTCAACAGCTTGATTATAATGTATCTTAGTGTGAGTCCCTTTAGGTTCTTCTTTGGAATTCTCTGAGCTTCCTCAGTCTGGATATCTGTTTCCTTCTCCAGCCAGGTTAGGGAAGCTTTCAGCCATCATTTCTCCAAATACATTTTGTGTTACTTTCTCTATAATGTGAATGTTGGTCCACTTGATGTTGTCCCATAAGTATCTTAAGCTGCTTCACTTTTCTCATTCTTTTGCTGCTCTGATTGTGTCATACGGGTCTCCTGTTGAAACCCTCTAATATATTTCTAGTATATTTTCCAGTTCAGTTAGTGTGTTCTTCAGTGCTATGATTTCTATTTGGTACTTTCTTATATCATCTATCTGTTGAAGCTCTGTGTTCACTCTTCTCTCAAGTTTAGTGAGCATCTTTATGACTCTTATTTTGAAGTCTTTATTAGGTAAATCACTTCAATCTCGTTTCCTGAGATTTTATCTTGTTCTTTCATTTGGAACATATTCCTGTTTCTTTATTTTCCTCAACTCTGTGTTGATTTCTATGCATTAGATAGCCACCTCTCCCAGTCTTGAAGGAGTGGCCTCGTGCAGGAGATAAACCTGATTGTTCAATACTGCCTTAGTTTTGGTTTTCTCTCAAACCTTTGTGATTGTCCAAGCAGCCTATTTATTTTTAGTGGCTCCTAGTAGTTGGCCATGTGACAGGTCATGTTCTAAAGGGGAGGATCTCAGCAGCTTTTAACATACGCAGATATACATAATAATCCTGTGGGACTGCAAAAGTTGTCTGTCCCACTGGCCAGCCAAGTCAGGTGGTCTAGAGGTGCCCCCCTGGGCAGCAGTCACAAAAATCAGGGCACCAGACAGGTATACAAGTTCCTTTCCAGGAGATACTGGAGACCTAGAGTGGGGCAGAGGGAAAGCACAGAGACGGTATCCCCTGGCCTCCACCCGAGGCTCAAGCTCCAGAGCAAGCAATAGCCTTTTTCACAGAAAGGCAGAGGGTGTGTTTCAGTTGGCTGTCTGTGCAGTGCCCTGGGGGTAGCCAGCTGAAGTCTCTTCAGTTCCAGCAATCTCATGGGGTGCAGAGGCGCAAGCCCTGCTGACCACCAGAGCTGGCAGGCAGTGGGTCCCCTGGTGGCAGCCACCAAAACCAGGACACCAGATACATGTCTGGGCACTTAACAGTTAATCCCAAGTTCCTCGCTGGGAGAGGAGGGAGAGGAGGACAATGGATGCTTATTACATCCATGTGTGTTTAATTAGAAGCCTGCCCCTCAAGCCGCATGCTATAACTATTTTTAAAGCTTTTCACAAATGTTAAATAGGAACATGTCAGATGATCCAGCCCTTCTAGTCCTAGGTATTTAACCAAGAGAAAGGAAGGCATACCTCCACAGATACCTATATATGAATGTTTTACACCATTTTATACATCAGCTTTGCTTGTAATAGCCTCAAGCTACAAACAACCCAGTTTCCATCAGTAAGTGAATAAACCATCTATACCATGGAATACTACTCAGCAGTAAAAAGGAATGAACTGTTGATACATGCAACAACATAGAGGAATGTCAAACTATGCCGAGAAAGCCAGGCCAAACAAAAAAACCTATATTATCATTCTGTTTCATAAACATCTAGGAAATGTAAAAATAATGACAGAAAACATCAGTGGTTGCTTGGGAATGGGGCTAGAGGGTGAGGGAGGAATGAATTATAAAGGAGCATGAGGAAATTTGGAGGTGGTGATGGATCAAATTATGTTGAGGTCATGGTGTGTCGAATATACACAGAATTCAGAACTCATTGGCGCCTGAGTGGCTCGGTCAGTTAAGCATCTGACTCTTGATTTCAGCTCAGGTCATGATCTCAGAGTCAAGGGATCAAGATCCATGCTGAGTGTGGATCCTGCTTGGGATGCTCTCCCTCCTTCTCTCCCTCCCCTGCACACATTCTCTCTTCCTCTCTCCAAAAATAAAAAAGAATTCAAAAATTGAAAACTCCTCAAATTGTACACTTGGTCAAGTTGTGTATCAACTTGTATGTCAGTCATACCTCAACAGAGCTGTGGAAAAAGTTAAATGTGATGGTTACCTGGGAAAAGCAGAGGGACAGGTAGGGGAGGAACCCATTTTTAACAATGCTTGTTGGTGGTCATCATCCTGTTACATAAACAAAAAACTAAGATGTCCAATTTGGAAGAGAGAATGAGATTTCCGATGCTGTCCGCAGCACCAGCACCTCCTGCAGGTAGCATTTGTGAAGCTGGCCCCCTGCGCCTGGCTTAGCTGAGGGCACGTGGAAGAGACTCTAGCTTGCTCTGCCTCTCTTCTGGGCCCATTGAGCAGTGCCTTACATTTCCTTTCAAAAAACTTGCTATGGCCCAAACTGCACTTAATGTTTGTCACACCGTGGGTTACACGTCATTCACAAAAAGCTGAGACTTAGATTGATACTTCCAAACTGGCACATCCTTTAAATGCACATCTAGATATATTTAGCGTGCTTTCCACTCCCTAGATTTGTTCCAGTCAAACCCAATTTAGTAGTAAAAACCCAGGAGGAATTCTTTTGAACTTCCTGATTGGCTACATTGTTGCCTCTTTGTCTTTCTGCAGATCTGATTTGTATCCACTGTGATCAACACTCTGAATTAGGACTTTCCAGATCCTGACCCAGGACTGCAGAGTAACCAGATTCCTCACAAGTGAGTGGCTCCAGCACCACTTCTGTACGTGGAACTGAAAGTGTTCTTATTCACCTGAAATCACTTTAGGTGCCCCTACCCTACCCTGGGTGGGGATGAACACACTTCCCAGTGGGCCCAGACTATAAAGCAGTGTGAGAAAGTGATGTGTCTGAAATCTCAGGAAACCAATATTTTCCATTTCTTTTGTTACTGGTTTACTCTATGGGCATTATATAATATTAAAGTCTTTTATATCAAATACTCTACTAATTTAAATGTAGATTTTCAAATATCAAACCACATTTTAATTTCAACACGCATCTGAAGCCAGTGGGATTCATCTTGCTGCTGAGAATTGTCTGAGGAAGGTGACGTTCTCATTTAACCACACCCAGGGTCAGGTCAGCCGAAATTGCTCATGAACTTAGACTAATGTATTTTTTTAAATTATGTAACTCATCTAAGTAATCTCTATACCCAACTTGGGGGGTCGAACTCACAACCCTGAGATCAAGAGTTGCATGCTCTGCTAAGAGCACGCAAGCTAGGGAGGGGCAGAGAGATGGGGACAGAGGATCCAAAGCAGACTCTGCTTTGATAGCAGTGACCCTGATGTGGGGCCCAAACTCTCGGACTGTGAGATCATGACCCCTGCTGAAGTCGGGCGCTTAACTGAGACACCCAGGTGGCCCGAGACTATTGTATTTTTGAGATCATGGCCTTCAAAGTGCCTTGGGTTATTCCCATGGAGACACCACAGCACAAGTTACTATTTAGCTATTTTGTTTTTTAAATAAGGAAGGGCTAAGGTGACCAAATGTCCTGGCTTTTCTGGAACTCATTCTGAATTCAGTATCTTTTTAGTTCATAAAGGCAGTTCCTTTAATATATTACCTAATGTGATCATTTTTATACCTTTATAAGATTGCTACGTCTAGAACTAGGTTTAGGAAGATAATAGCAATCATAGCAGCATAAGTAGGCGAGAAGTGTATGAAAGAACATGGCTACAGGAGTGATCAGAATTTCTCGTTTCTTCCTAATTACCAAGGAACACCACTCCCTTCAGTTCGAGCAAGGCCCTGCAGGATTGCTGTTCAGGAACCAGTTGGGCATGTTTCTGAGTTTAGACTATTTCTAAAATAGAATGACTATTTCCATTTAGTGCCTTTTTTTTTTTTTTTTTTTAATAGACTCACCAGAGAGCTGAGTTTTAACCTTGATTTTAGGCTACTTTTCCTGTTAATCAATAGGAAATGATTTGTCTACATCCTTGAAAGAATGGAGTCTATTATAGAAAATGACCACTTCTAATCCTTTCACCTTCCCATTCCACAAAACTATAGAAGGCCGTGATGAATCAAGAATCGATAGCATTTAAAGTACTGACAGATACCTGTGTTTTGCAGGAAGGACACTGATTTTGGATTCCTTGGTGGAGGAACACAAAACCCTCTGGTCTTGCTGCCAACGATGCAAGTGTGATTGCTGGCATCTTCATGGGCTCCAGAGGTCACAGCACGCTCCCACGGACTCTCATGGCCCCTCGGATGATTTCTGAGGGAGACATAGGAGGCATCGCTCAAATTACCTCCTCTCTCTTCCTGGGCAGAGGCAGTGTGGCCTCCAACCGGCACCTCCTCCAAGCTCGTGGCATCACCTGCATCGTTAATGCTACCATTGAGATCCCCAATTTCAACTGGCCCCAATTTGAATATGTTAAAGTGCCTCTGGCTGACATGCCCCATGCCCCCATTGGACTGTACTTTGACACTGTGGCCGACAAGATCCACAGTGTGAGCAGGAAGCATGGGGCCACGTTGGTGCACTGTGCCGCGGGGGTGAGCCGCTCGGCCACTCTCTGCATCGCTTACCTGATGAAATTCCACAGTGTGTGCCTGCTGGAGGCGTACAACTGGGTGAAAGCCCGTAGGCCTGTCATCAGGCCCAACGTAGGTTTCTGGAGGCAGTTGATAGACTACGAGCGCCAGCTCTTTGGGAAGTCGACAGTTAAAATGGTACAGACACCTTATGGCATAGTTCCAGACGTTTATGAGAAAGAGTCCCGACACCTGATGCCTTACTGGGGGATATAATGCCACCAAAGCCTGCATCAGCAGCCCCTTGAGCAGTACCAGCATCTGCTACACACCGTCCGTTCCCCTCTTCACCTTTCTTTTCAAATGGTTGACTCCTGGCTCTCCCTGAAGTGTTTTTTACACTGGGTGTTCAGGTTTATTTTAAAAGATGGGGGGTGGGGGGGAGGAACATAAGGGGAATGCATACATTGCTAGTAACATTTTTAAAACTAACATTTTGGAATAGTGTTTATGAAAATCTTTAACTGGCTTTTAATCATTTTTAACAATTTGAACAGTTTAATAAACTGTTTGGTTCTGCTATATTCTGAATCCCATGCCTTTAGGCATCATGGCAGGTGCCAGAGGAGCTCAGTGCAAAAATCACTTTGGGTCCTGATTAACCCTTTAGAGACAAGCTTTGCCCAAGGCTGCTGACCACACAAATGCTTAGGGAAGATTGATACCAGCTTCAGTCTCTACTGGATTAGCTCTACTCTTTCCTTTCCTATTTAGTGACTCTGTAAGTTAAAAAACAAAAACAAAAAAACCTTTGTTATCTAGTTGTTAAGTAATTATAATGAAATCTGCTGCAAACACCCTCTTGGAATCATTGTGCCCCAGGACTACATTAGCATTATTTTTAATAAATATATCTGCATAACCTATTAGAATTTTTACTAAGAACTCCAGGGTGTGTGTATGTGTGCGTTGATGCTGGAAGAAAGATGCTCTCCAGTAACTGCATTAAAATCCGGCTCCGGTGACAACTATGCCACTTAAAATAGACCTCTCGGCTGAACTGTGTCAACGTTTCACATCCTTGCAGATGGGCAGACGTTAATATCAGTCACAGTGCTAAAGCTGTGGAAAACAGCACAGAGTGTCCACTCTGATAAAAGATAGTTTTCGGATGTCTTTGGCAACTGGAGTGCACCAAAGCAGTGAGTCCTCCATCAAAGAAATTGTTTTTTAACAAAAGCTATGCCTTTGCTCCACACAAAATGTCCTAAACCAAACCTCCATAGAAGTGACCATCAAACAACAATGACTTCTTTTGTTGAAACTTGGAACCATGTCATCCGGTTCACTGCTCCTAATAAATATGACAGCATAACTCATCAGGGACTTGGGAGAAGTGTAATTAGTTCTTCCCTATTCCACACTCCTCACAAACTATTGGGAACCATCAGATTGCCCCTGCTCAGTCACAGTGCTGCTTTATCTTTCTTCATTTGCCACGTAGGTTGTAGTTTGCTTCTCTGTGGAATAATTTTCTAGGCTTTTGGCCCGTCTTGACAAGCCATAAATATGCCGGTGGTTACATATTTATATAAATTATATTTTCTAGATTTTTATCTGGTCCGTGGCAGTGGTTTCATCCAAATTCTACCTTGTTTCTTCCCAGTCATTCACTTTTATAAACATGTACTGCAGTCTAAATAGGAAAATTAAAATGAGGTTAATGGTTTGTGTGGGAAATCAGAGGAACCCATAAATGAATGCTGCATCAATTAGCACATGATCGAAAAGCAGTCAAAAGAACAACAAAGCAATTTGTGGCTGTGGAGGCTATGGCTTCTCTAGTATGAAGGCAAACTGTAAGTCATGTAGTCTTTGGATAAGAGTCCAAAAATAACCACTGTACTACAGTAAGAGAACACCGGGTGACAGATGTTCTTGGTAGGAAAATTTCCGGCAGAAATCCCGGCCAACACCACTACTGGGATGTAACTAAGCATTCTTAGTACTTAAGAAGCCTAATGCCTTTCTAATCTAAATGTCAGAGTTTATTAGCTGGTCACAAAAGGAAGGTGTGTGACCTAGAAGGTGTTTGTTAGGGGAATTTCTGTGGTGATCCCCAGTGCAGGGCAAGCATTTCAAGTTTCTATAATGTAGAGGCGCTATAATCTTACCAAAGCTTAGGATCACACAAGTTATCAAAAGGCAAGTAGAAGGCATCTTTAAACAAGACATAGGTACATGCATACAAAATATTCAAGTAATTTAGAATATGCAACCTATTTAGAGTGTTAACTAAACAGGACAAATAAGGCACGGATAATAACATACCCTGTGCCACCTCTACATTGAGCACGTCCAGACAAAAATTAAGTTACACACTAAGCCATAAAACGTCTAAAAGCAAAACACAATACCAAAAGAGAAAAGCGCTTATTCACCGCCACTCAGGCAGCGGGGCGGGAGGTGTCGGCACCTCACGCAGTAGGGAAAGAAGTAACCTTGGTTACTGTTTCCAAGGACACTGGACTCTGGCGCGTCAGAGCCAAGATGTAGACGAGCGCAGTGTTGAGTCGTCTGAATAAACTTGCACACGTAAAGAAAGTGCAAGGGTATGGTTCCACACTCTGGAAATCCTTACTGGTGGTATGTGAGTGAACATTTCCACTACTAAACAGTATTTTTCATAGCAAAGCCTTTTGGCGTCTGCTGTATATGCCTCTAGCGCCTCCCATGGAGTGACCAGACCTGCCGTACCTGGTGAGGCCTGCAGTGATTATCCTTGTGCTCTGCAACCTCTCTAGGAATGGAACCATTCTGGTTAGCAGGTGAGCACACGTTAAAAATGTCATTGACACAGGCCATTGCTACAGAATAGCAGCCCATATGGCATTTCCAGAAACTGTCTCAGCGCTGTGAATCCTGTCAAACTGGGAGACATTCTTAACTGCAAACAAAGGCAGATTCGGTCATCCTGCCCTACCATGGAATGTACCAGACGGGTCAGAGGCCCGCTTCAGTCCTGGCACCGTGATGAAACTCTAGGTGCTGCTCAGGCTGAAGTGGAGACCGAGGCCTCAGGGAAGCCTGAGGACCCAGCTGATGCTGTGGGTACTAAGTCAGGTAGCCCTGTGGAGGACAAAGGCCCTGAGGGTAGTAACTCAGGCTGTGTCAGTCACCCAGCTGGAAGGGAATCTGGAGAAAATGAGAAGCAGATTTATCTCGTCAACACTTCCCTGTGCATTCTGGGGCCCAGCAAGGTAAAGCAGAAGCCTCATCAACAGCTATTTAACAAAAACGTCCTATACCTTCCTTGGAGAAGACACCACTAAGGGAATAGAACAGAATCCCCTCAAGTTTAGTGCCAGGAAGGGAAAACCACCTACTTAATTATGTAAAATGGCAATTTTATACCCAAAACGACCTTGTTCAGTTCACAAATAAAAACTGACTCGAGGTCAGAGAGCCTAAGTCACACAACTTGTGAAACACAAGAGTCAAAATCTCTTTGTAAAGCACAGAATTTACAAGTCAGAGACGTGTATGTCCTAGGTTGGCCTGTTCTTCCCAGGGCTTCACAGCTTCACAGTCCTTAGCCACTTCGCTTTTTTTTTTTTTCTTTCTGATTTTATGCATTCAGTTCTAAGCGGCAAATTCCCTACACCAGATAGCAAGCATGAGCCTTTTCCTTCCAGAATTCCATGCAGTTTTTGAACACTTTGCTTCCACTGTTTCTAAGTCATGTACCTCAACCATAAATATACATACATCTGTTTGCCTCAGTAGGCCAGGAACTCCACCTTCCAACTGTGAATGAATTTTCAGGTCTCTCACATAATACTGCGAAGTCAGGCAGTACTGGTCCCTATGCAGTCATTTCTGGACATTTGGACAAAGGCCACTGCCAAGAGGTTTCATCCAGCTGCCTTTCCGAAACTTGTCTGCAAAAAATACCACGTTCACAGTCTTTGAGGTAAAAGAAAGTTTTCAGTGAAGGCTCCGAAAGGGGAAGGGTGTTTATTCATCCTGATACACAAAGATTTGGGCCTCTGTCAAAATGAACATTCAATCCATTGCAAAGTACCCAGGCGTGTTTTGAGAAAATGCCTTCTTGAACGCTGATAGTTTGAGAAATGAACAAAAGAAGAACTGGTTCAGCTGTGACCGCAAAGTCGGTAAATCTGCCCTCACCCACTTCCATCGTCTGATGGAGATGAACGGAAGTTTTTCGATAAAAAGAACATCAGTTTAGTCACAATGTCCCCTTTTTATTCATTTCAGATATCAACAAGCTACATGTGGGTAAATGCATTCTACTTCACAGGACAGCAGGGTTCTAGACAGAAGCGAGCACTGGCTCAAAACATTCTTGCCAATTCCAATCCTATTACAATTTATTTTTCTCCAAACGTCAAAATGTCAATTCTTCACAGTTTCAATATACGGCAGCAGCAAATGATTCCTTAAAGAAAATCGTGCCATATTTTAAAACATCTTAGCAGAACTAGAGAGAAGTTAGCAAACTTCTGGTGCCACATGCAGTTTGGGCAGGGCAATTTTACCTCAAATCCCTAAGACTTGTGGTGGGACCTAGGGGACAAATGTCTGCAGGAACGACTGGGAGCTCGCAGCTTCTTTCTCACCCCTGACCGTGCAGGGAACTCCTCCTATAGCTTCGTGGAAGCGAACTGCGCAGTCCTGCATTCTGTTCATTGGTCCCTGTCTCCTCCTGGGGTATGATGGGAAAACAGACCCAGTAGGTACTTCAAAGAGGTACTTTTCAGAGCAAATCAGGCAGGATGAGACCGGGAGGTTTTGGTTCAACACAGTTGATCCAGAAGTTGGCACAGCTGGCGTGATACTGGTGTCCTCCATATGCCAGCTTGAAGCTGTCCGTTTCGGAGTTGAATGCCTGCCAAAAATAAACAGATATGTGGGGCGAGTCAGGCTGCTTCTGCACCTAAGAGCTGGTCGGCACCCTGCACGCATCCCTCGCCAGGTCACAGAGGCTGAGGCCACACTGGCACACACACAAAAGCTGAGCAGGTGGCTACAGGGGTTCAAGTGAGAAAGTTTTTTGCTGCTAATTAAAGACATAAAAAAATCTTTACCATTAAACCCAGTTTCAGCAAAAGAAGGGCAAATGGTTCATAGCAAAGGCAGACCGAGGCTACGGGGGGTTGTGTGTGGGGGTGTTCATGTTACGGGGAACTAAAATAGCTGTGGAGGATTTTTATCCCTCGTTGTGCCGAAGGGAGCCCTGCCCTCAGGCTGGCACTGAATGATACGTACAGTCCCTTCCATTCCTGGGGCTGATTACAGTCCTCTCATGGAAAAAACAAAAGATTAAAAGCTCTCAGGGTCGAATGCCACTGGGACCTGATAACGGAATCAATGTAATTAAAAAGTCCAAATAGGTATAGGATTTGTAAAAATAAAGACATTGAACAGGTCAGAATTACTTCCAGATGACTAATGCTTACAGGTAAGTCACAGCCAGCCAGTCCTCACCTCAGTTCCCTGGAGGGTGTCCTAAAGCACTACAAGTAAACAAGTAACACAGAACTCTAAACCCCAATTTGTTTTTGATCACTGCCAAATCGTGACGCTCTCTGATCTCGCTCCATGTCACAACTTCCAGTCTTCCAGAAGTTGCTCATTCTGTTACCTTATTCATCACAGAGGGAAAAATGACTTGTAACACCAGAAGCCAATTACAAGAGCTACGAACATGCAAACAAGACAAGTGGACCCACGCAGACACACTAGCTGGTCAAATCAAACAGACTATGGGAACAGACAGTAAAGGGAGGATTCATGGTCACAACAGTTCAGGATGGCAGTGGAATCATCTGATTGGCTTTCCACACTCAAAATTAAGATGGAGATGCTAAGATCGTGTATAACTGGTTCATACTTTTTTGGGATGTTCTTCT